TGTTATCAATAATTGTCGGATTGTAATATTTGATACATTTTAACATAGCCAGAGACAAGGCACATAGCTATGGTTCTTTGGATTTTTTATTTTCGACGAATCTTCGGAGATATTAGGCGCCTAATTATGAAAATTTAAATTTTTACAAAAAACTTTTTTATTGAATATTTTTATGTGGTATTTTACCAAGGGTTAAAGGGTCATCCGATCTGACAAAAAATGTCAACATTTTTTGTCACCGTATTTTTCCTTGGCCCCCATTGGCTAATTTAGTTTTTCAGTCCTGGATTAATTATTTATTGTTCGATTTGTATAAGACAAAGTTCATATGTTCATTTTCCTTTCGGCAACGGAAGTAACACAAATTTAGCAAAAACTGCAATTTTGAAAGTTCGGTACCACTTTTTGAAAGCAAATATTATTTTTTTTAAATCTGGTATGACTGAGAGGGTTTGCCCTGTTAATGCGCAGAAATCATCGCTCTCAGTTTTTTTAATTTTTATTTCGTTTTCGGATCATTTCGATTTAAAGGTGAAATAAGGTGAAAAAATGAGCTATTCACAACCCATTCAGGCTTTTCATATTTTAAAATATTTCTTCGCAATTTTCATAAACTAGTAGCAATAATCCATACGAAGAGAATGTATGTGAAAATTAATTTGTAATATGAACAGTTGCCGAGAAATGGGCAATTTTATATGAGTCACTTTTTACGCTAGTTTGCCTGTATAAGAGTCGATTATTATTCGATTTTCATAAAAGTGACACCATTTGATGCGTAATGTCAATTTTAACAAGGTCAAACCAATTTAACATTTTCAATGTCACCGGAATTTGGGCAAAAATTGTATTTATAACCTTCAAAACCAGTAATTTATTCAAATGAGTCTTATTTGTTATTTGTTTAAAATTTTGATATTTGATTCCAATCAACTAATAGAACGAACCCAAACGATCATATAGATATCACAAAATGGTTTCTAACTTGTTCAGTTGCGGAGAAATAGACGATTTTCAACAGGTAACTTTTCAAGGTTTTTGGTCCATAAAAGTGTCAATTATTATTCGATTTTCATAAAATTCCCCGTGTGTGATACCTAATGCCATTTACGATTTCATACAAGTAATTTAACACTTTTACTGTTACCGGAAGTAACGTCATTGTGGCAAAAACTGTATTTTTAGCCTTCAAAACAGATATTTTATTCAAATGAGTCTGATTTGTATTGTTTTTAAAATTATGATATTTGATTCCAATCAACAAATCGATTGAACCCACACGATCATACAAATACCAAAAAATGGTTTCTATCTTGTACGGTTGCAGAGAAATAGACGATTTTCTACAAGTCACTTTTCAAGGATTTTAGTCTATAAAAGTGGCAAATATTATTCGATTTACATAAAATTTTCACCATGTGATGCCTTATGCTATTTCTGATTTCATGAAACTAATTTAACATTTTCATTATCACCGGAAGTAATGTAATGTTGCCAGGATCACTTACATGTAATGAATGTATACAATGAATTGATATTGCCGGATTTGGTTGATTCTGCGTACATTTTATGTGATGTTAGCAATGCTTAAATGGAAACCTGTTTAATGGTTTCATCGGTACCGGAAGTGACATATGTTCAAGGGTAACGGGGCACCGGTGAAACCCGTCATTACTGCATCGCAGTTCTAGTATTCACTTGTAGTCACCGAGTGAGTGTTATTATGGACAACATCAATGTTGATTTAAATTGACAAATAATTCGTGTTTTCAATGTCGAGGAATTTGGATGATATTGAGTTAGAGACTTAGCTACTTTAAACGAAATGTATAACAATAAACTTTTAGTAATACAAAGAGGATACTCTCTTGCAGTAAAATATTGGTCTTAGTACTCAACGAAAGTCAATTGGGCTTGGGTGGGGGGGTTTAAAGACCATAATTTCTGTAACGCAAATGCCTAAATGAACTATAATAGTTTTCACTGGATTCCTAACCCCCATAAAAATCGGTAATGATACAATTGTAAACAAATTAAGGGACTGATTGAAGTTATTGAGTAAAGCATGCTTTTCAAATAAGTCATAGTTATTGCAACTGTTTTTTTGAGATTGGACTAAAAGTTTGTTTTTCAGTCATGGCCCAGGTGTCTAATTTGCATATTCTATATTATGCAATATAACTATGCTGTTCTTCTGGTGCTTTTCAGCACCCTTGACCCTGTAATTATGGGCATAGGTACTGGTTTCATGGAGCTAAGTCAAAGAGTTTCAGATTTAGGGGGGAAAAATAAGTTATTCACTAATGGCGGCTGTTAATTTGCATTCTAAATGCATATTCTAAATGTGTTTATTTGTGTTCCTGGCCACGAAAACATGGGTTTGGATACAATTTCCACCAAATTTGAACATTTGATAGCCAAATAATAGCATTAAATCAATTTTTGAAACATGAAATTATGCTAATAGCATATTACGCAATTTGACCCCTTTCCACCAAAAATACTTTGGAACATTTTTAGTATGATGTGCAAGAGACCTTACGGAAATGCATACCACCAAAAGAAATTCTGTTGCAATTTGTTTTGGGTTGGGCCCTTTTTTCAGCTAGATAGACTGGACTAAAGGGGAGAGCGGGGTTAACGTCAATGTTATTTCACCAATTCTTTTGCACGTCTTATCCGGGCGACCAGAGAGACACACTAGGTTGGCCAGGCGATCTTACTCCTTATCACGTACAAGCTAAGATCAATCGAAACCACACGACTTGACTCAATGACAGACCTAATTATCTCAAACTCCCGTATTGTCAATTTAACATTTTCAAAAAAACTGTTTTTATCCCACCCCATCCCACCCCGGCGCACCACAAAGAAAAAAAGAAATCGAATCCACAACACTTGACTTAATGAACCGTGTTACCCAATCCCCCGTATTGCTAATTTATAAATTTAATATTTAAGCCCAGTCCCCGGTATTCCTAATTTAAAATTTTTTTTAATAATATAAAAAATAATATTGACCATCCTAGAATATGCAGAGGATGCCAAATGTTGACAAATTTTCAATTCATCATATCTGTAAATACTGAACAGAAGATAATCATTTTATGACTGCCATTCCTTTTAGAGATTAGTCCTTCGGATGAGACGCAAAACCGAGGTCCCGTGTATACATTGGAATGCACGTAAAAGATCCCTTGGCAGTTGGAATTCGATATAAGAGTAGGCGATTGTGCCGCTGCCCGGGCAAAATTTCCCTCATAGCACACTGTATGGCGTATGCCCGTCTTCATTAGCCCAGCATAGGAGCAGAACAGTAGGACGTTAAACCCCCTTTCATTTCATTTCCTTTCCTTTTAGAGAATCAACTTTCACAATAATTATAGTGTTGACGAGATTCATAATTCTTCAAATAAATGACGAACTATGAGTAAAAACAAAACGTGTATCGAAGGACAAACCGTACATAACTAATATAACATTCAAAAACTAAATGGTAGCTAGCCCTTTTTTCTCCGTAGGTAGGGGGTTAGGTCTATTTCATAGGACCAACTTCAGGTTTGACCAAAGGTCACGATATGTAAACCGGGCTAGTGCTAATCCCACCCCTAATCCTAAACCTGGCCCTAGCCCTATAACAGTTCCTATAATCACGTGCCCTAACCTTATTTACATCTCAGCGACCTTGACGAAATCTTGAGTTGACCTTAAATAGATCTAGCCGTTGGTAGCGTGAGAATGAGGACAAACAGGCATAAATTCTCAAAAACTTTGTTCATAAGATTTCAATGACAGAAAATACAAAAAGCCCCATACGATTCCGAATTGCGATTCCAACTCTTTTCTTTTCAAAATCAACTGTACATCTTCAACAATATCTTTAAAAAAGTACAGGGACATGAAATCTGCTATCTTGGAATTGTGAATGCGAAAATAAGATTAGTATAAATACATGGAACCAGTTTCTGTTTTAAAAAATATACATTAGGATCCTTGAAGTGTAACTTTGGATGACAGTGGTAACATATTAATATTTGTGACAGGCATTGGAAACAAAAGATTATCACCCCCTTTCCATCACTCACACACAAGAAACCCGAGGAAAAATCCACAAAAAAAACTTCGACGGTTTTAATGGTGGATTCATCTGGGAAATATCTTTTAAACTAATTGTAAAAATAGAAAAACAATTCAACAACCATCTGGGAATCAGCATATGGCCCAAACCATTTGAGACTCACTCTTAGAAATTCCAATAACCCGGTTACGTCATCAGCTTCATTTTGCAGCTGCAGTTTTTTCGCGGGAATACCATAGTCTATATTTTGAAATATTATGTCACTCGTGAATGACTGGGTCATGATAACCTGCACACTCCGCGCGTGGTCGATAGAGCTCAGTCCATATAGCTCGAATACGAAGGCCTGGTTTATGGCTCAGTCTAACCTACTAACCTGACTGCTTAAAGCTCGAGCGATTGTTGACGATGTACAGCCTAATATTGGAAAAAAGAGAAATACAATCTATAACCGCCTAATTATAAAATTACCTAATTATAAAATTACCATATCAAATGGTATTAAATCACATGATTCCAGAGAGGGATTCGAATCCCCGGTTGTACGTGGCAAGGAGTAGGGTCGCCTGTCCAACCTCGTGGGTTTTCTCCGGGTCCTCCGGTTTCCTCCCACTGCTAAAGACCCCTACGCGCAAGCGAATTATGTAAATAAAATTAAACCATATGTTAGTCCCGAAATGACCTAGTTTGTGTCGAGTGGACGTTAAACCCCATTTCTCTCTCTCTCTCCAGAGAGGGAGGGAGAGAGAGAGAGAGTTAATTAAATGGGGTTTGACGTCCATTCGATACAACTTTCCAATATATATTTCCAAATCGATTCCCTATAATAATAAACTATTTTCAAACTATCTTTCAAAATATTTACAAGGAGCGCGTGCGATATTGATTTTTTTCATAACTATTATCTTCTCTAGCAGTTATTCTGAGAAGCGCGGGAATTCCAGGAAATCAGGGTTTTCCCGCTAGTCACGTGATATATAGTTTCTGTTTATATCAACCCTGCAATTTTACGAGCGCATTCATAATCGTGCAAGCTAGTAGAAAAGAACTGATCGTTCGTGTGACTGAAATGTGAGTAGATCTAGTTATTTAATTTTGCAACAGTTTGAAACAAATGATATGGTTATTTTAGTAGGCCTATTGTGAATTTAATTTTGAGAGATCGACATGCTTGTTGCCTACTTCAAACTTTGCTATTTTCAGTTTCATTTCACAATTGAATTTTATCTACTTTGCAAAAAAGTACAATGGAACTTTTAATACATTAAAAAAAAACCTAACAGATTGAAAGGGCCGTGGTTAGAGGTTCACATTGATAGCATGCATTTTGATTGTTATTATCTAAACTATTAAAAATAAAACGGGGAAATAGCAAGGAATCGCATTTCACTTTCAGCCACTCAAAGTCAAATGATTTATCGTCAAGCAGTAATACCGCGTCAACTATTCCGCTTAACTATGATAAATTTTGGTGTTGGTTGGAACCTTTCTGTTTGTTTGTCATACAAAAACAGAAATAATAAGTTAAAGTAGCTATAAGTCGCTTAACTCAACATCATCCAAAGTCTTACACGTTGAAAACACGAATTATTTGTCAATTTAAATCAACATTGATGTTGTGATCTTACAATCAGATTACATTATTATATGCGTTGCGACCCATTTGGGTCAATTTCTAGGTCACAAAAATTAGCGATTTAGCTCCTTTAATTATGACGTCTCGAATAAATGAGAAATGTTATCAGATGTTTTACAAAGAGGACAGGATACCCGACAGAAAAGGATTGTTTCACGGTCTAGTTTCGATAGACAAAACTCAATAAATTTTACTGACAATAAATAAAGAATAAAACTAGGGATATTTGCTTTAGATTTTTTTTTTAAAACTTTAAATAAGTATAATGTTCAATATTTTAATTGTTTATCTCTGTACCAAATATATCTATCAATCTAGCATACTGTCTTACAAATTGTTTTTAAGGGAGTGTGACAGACATTGACCAGAATGTCAATGTGCCACATTTTCACTGTTGATGTAAGGACCCTAGTAAGATTTCCATCCAGGAGCCCTATGCAAGCTTAATTGGACCCTGGATGCATCCGTTATTGGAGCCCATAACTATCACAAAATATATCAGGTCATATTATATCATTATCTCTGTCTGATGTTGCTATTTTTACTTAAAGGTGGGATATAATTTTAAAAACTCTACCTATCAATTTACATGTATATATGACAACAACACAAAATCTAATATTGTAATATGTAATCAATCATGTAGTAATACATGTACTTGGAAATTTTAATTATGGTGTACAATGTATAAATGTAATATGATTATAATGTAAGTTTCATATATAAACAAACCATTTTAATTATGGTGTGCAATGTCTAACTGAAATATGATTATAATGTAAATTTTACATAAACATGATATTTTATAGATCAAAACATTATACTGTTGGTAAAATAGACAAGGTACTGTTATTAATACTTTAAACATGACACAGGCTTGTTTTTAGGCTGTGACCTTGTATTAAAGATGACAGGTTTGTTTTTAGTCTGTAACCTTGTAGTGCATTCAAGGTTTTTCAGCTGGAACCATAACTTTTTTACCTCTGTCCTCAATTACATGATTTCTTGGTTCCAGTAACCCAGTGTATAGACTTAGAAACCTTCAGGAACTTTGTTGTGAAAGGGTTAAAACATTTATCTAATTAGGATTGGTAGGATAATGTTATCTTTATGTCAAACTTTATCAAATAAGTGACTAAAAATATAATCAACACACCTTCAGGAACTTTGTTGTGGAAGGGTTAAAACATTTATCTAATAGGATTGGTAGGATAATGTTATCTTTATGTCAAACTTTATCAAATAAGTGACTAAAAATATAATCAACAAACATACCTAAATATGGTTACGTAACCTACATCGGTTGTCCACAATTTCTGGTTTCATTACCCTGTAGGGAGAACGGTAGAACATTAAAACCTATTTCATTCATTCATTGTCCACAATTTCTTGGAAACACTTAGAGACTACATTTATTTTTTTCTTATCTTCTAACATTTATGTGTTGTTTACATAAAAGAGACACAAAGTTAGATAACAACCAACAGTTATTTCCCTTGATCACTTTGTGGACTCTTAAATGTAATTGTTCTGGCCAGAACAAAGCACAGCTTAAATGGAGCAGACCCTGGGCCAAATTAGAATTGCGGGGCCCATACTGCTACGAAAAGATTATTTCGTATGGCACTCATGTCCTTTTGAATGGCACGCATGTGTAACACACAATTAAACAGTCTGCAGTACAAAAACAAATTACATAATATCTGATCAAATAGGAAATCTACACAGTTCCGAATAGCATATAGCCACGAAACTGTTATAACAAGTTAAATCACCCGATTTTTGAGGTGTTCCTTACAGAGCTGAGAGTTCAGAACGATTTGCATCATGGTTTACGACTATTGAGCTCATTGATTATAATCTCATCATCTAATGTTCATGGATAGTAGGGCTAAAACTTGGAGTTACTCTTGGGTGAGAGTTTATGTTTTCTCACTTTTCAAGTCTGTGACAACGCTGAAAGATCTCTCAGCTGAAGTCATCTTTATCAAATACATTCAAATTACTATTTTTACTTCTGGAAATATTCTGGTAAGATCATCCATCGGCGTTTTCGGTTTATCGCCTTTATGCCATGAACCACAGGCCCAATTGGCCTATGCCTAAGCTAGACTGTGGGCCAGAAAAGTGATCATCAGATCACCTTGAAAATTATATGGATTGTTTAAATTAGCGAGATTAGGAAGCATAACAAATTTCAACAATTTTTCAACAATTAATTCTTGTGAGATAGTGCCCTTGCTCACTTTCTAGATTTTTGCCAAGTCTGTAAAGACACACATGTTCACACATTGTATAAATCATATGAAAAAAGAACCCTGTCAATATTCCACAAATTTAATCAATTACTTTAAGGGTTATTGCCCTTACTCAATTTGCAAACACTCTAGCGAACAAACATTAGATCAAGTATTCTGTCATTGAGGCAAGGGGCACAGTTTGGTTTATATTTTAGTAATTTATTATTTTTGTATTCTAATCTTTTATTAATTTATGTATGTACTTTAATTCTCTCAATGTACTTATGTCTTTTTTAATTGCTTTATTGTAGAAGAATTCAAATTATACCAATATGTCTCAGACCATGAAGAAAAGGGCTATTAGACCAATAGATCGACAGAGAATGAGGCCATGGCTCGTAAATTTACTGAATAACAATTCAGTAGATGGTCTTGCATGGCGGGACAGAGAGAGAGAGACCTTCCAGGTAACATGGAGACATGGTTCTCGTCATGGCTGGAGCAGGAAAGATGCTGACGTATTCGAAAGATGGGCCATGCACACAGGTAAATTTCTATGCATTGTTCAGTATAGTAAAATATAGTTTTCTATCAAATTTCAACAATTTCTGATAATTACTGTAGAGTTATTGCCCATTATCATGTCATAGAATCTCGTCAAGAGTATTAAGATTTGCTTTTTATTTACCTAAACCATTGTGGATTGCTCAGATGACTTTGATGTAACTTCCTTGCCTGAAAAGTACAACCTGTACTTTTAGTTTGGAAGAAACATCAACGGATGTGGGTGCAGACCAGCTCTGCCAACTGCCTAAAACAAATACAAGTACTATATTATATCCACCTAATCCCCCAAAATAACAAAATAATTCTTTTAAAGTCGGAATAAAAAGGCAAGTTTTTTTTTTTTAAACGGTATAAGCCCCTTTGTCTTATCTTAATATTGTTTGGTTTCAAATATTTAGACTTCAAATATCGGTACTAGTGAATGTTCAAATATTTAAAAATTATCAAAATGTTTTCTTTATCTGTAGGCAAATTTAGAGAAGGTGAAACACCAGATCCCAAAAAGTGGAAGGCTAATTTTCGATGTGCCTTAAATAGCCTGCCTGACATTAATGAAGAAAAAAATCTGAGCAACACAAAAGGTAATAATGCCTATCGTGTCTACAAGATGGCGAAGGAAACAAAATCAGGTAATAAGTTATACTCAATGTACTCACTCACCTGAGTACTTTTTTTTCAACATTCCAAAAACCTACAATTTTAATGCAGAACTCGCTAAAATGTGCTCAAGGCATGCGTTTATTATGCTTCAGACGTGCCAGGCCAGGCTACATCCATGTCAGTAGATAAAGTGTAGGGGATCAGTTTTTTTGTATGTGGCCTTTCAGGTATGCACCTGTGTGACCTAGTGTACCTGTAACTTTTTTAAAAAACATATAGCCTCTAGGCTTTTGAAATAGTGTTAGGTACTATTCATAATTTGTAAGGATTTGGGGCCTTCTGAGAGGGAGAGAGAGAAAGAGAGAGCGCTTTAACATCCACTCAACATAAACTAGGTCATTTTGGGGGCTAACAGATTGTAAAATTTTATTTGAATTATTTGCTTGTTCACTGGTGTCCTTAGCAGTGGGAGAAACCCATAGGATCCTACTCCTTATCATTTACAAGTGCACTGTTAGACTACTCCCCCCACCCCACCCCACCCCATGTTGAATTTGTAGCCTATGGCCGTGGTTCGTCTATATAGAATCTAGTGAACACTACGGTAGCTCATTGAGTAAGGTACTAGCTCTCTAATCAGTTCCCAGGTCAGATTCTAGTGTCAAGAATGTTCCTCTGCTTTGGATGTTCTAGCTTGGTTTATGTCGGTGTCAAAAAAATCCTATTGCTTGGGCAAATTTCCCCACAACACACTGCATTAGCTTGGTTGATATAGAAAATTTAAACCTCATTTCAGTACATTTTTATTAAGTTATGGCCCCCAGTAGAAATTAGTGAGTGTTTTTACATATGATCTACTTTATGTGTGTTTGTTTTGATCTCATTGCAGACAAAAAATCATCAAACAGGAATGCCAACAAGGTAAGAGTAAGGTTTTATCCAGGCCTAATAAGAAAATGCAAGCTTTAAAAATGATATAGTCATGTCGTTTCTGTTAGTGCAAAAAAGTAGAACGTTAAACGGTTTAATTCAAACCTCCATTTCATTTTGATTGATGCCTAAAAACCTATGACCTGTGACTTCAGAGGCAAGATGACATGTCAAGGGCATTAAGCAATTCGTATAAGTTTAAAAAAATAAATTTTACATGCATCAATAAATTTTGATGTTTTATTAAACAGTTAATCATATGAAGACATAAAAATATTTTACAAAGTTCCTAAGTATAATTCTTGAGAGTGGGAGTGTGGTCTCTGCTCCCCAAAAAAGCTGCTTAAAATGCTTCACAAATTACCATCAAAATTTGTGTAAACTGGGAAACAATGTATCAATCTGTAATTTACATTAAAATGTTTATTATTTGTTTAAAGCATAATCGAATAATTGAAGAAATGACAAGTGATGGAGAAGAATCAAGATCTTCAACAGGACAGGAAAGTCCACAACGTCTGACTCCATCAAATAATATCAACACCTATAGCATACCTGATTTTTCACAAATATCTAGTGGTAAGAGGAATAATTATTTACCATTATTTGTTGCAGAATATTGAACATTTAACCCTTAATATTGATCTCTGTCGACATTACCTTTACATTGTTGTAATATTCATATTCCTGAAGCTATGTTTTATAGTTTTTCTGACTTAATATTCAATGCATGTTGTGACTCTACTCTTTCTGAAATATCTGAGCTCTTCCACGCTAGTAATAGATTTTTGTGACAGATGTTGATCTTTAGACCCTTTTCTTGTAAGAAATAAAAAAAATGGACTAAAGCTTTCGTCAATATTGGGGATGATTATATATATAACACATACATTATGCAACTTTTCAAAATAACTACTGGTACATGTGACTCAGTGTATCCAGATCAAATGAACTGCTATGGTCTGTAACAGTTCTGACGGGCATTCAATGATTCCTGTAGTATTTACTTTTAATAATTAGCATGTAATTTAATTAAATATTTCTTTTCTAAATCTCAGATCAATCCATAAAAAAATCACATATGGTTACACTGTCAGCGACTGGTCACTGTGGTGGTGGGATAGTATGTGTAAATGAGGAATCGAGTCCAGTGGAGACTTTCTATTTGAAAAATATGAACCAGTATGCATCTGGTGTAATTCCAAGTCCAGCACATTCTTTATCAGACTCGTCTTCTTCAGATCATTCCTACAGAGATACAACTGGTATGACATTAAAGCAAATTATATGTATTTAAATTACAGATGTGACGTCATCCTTTGATGTTGGCATACCATTATTTCAAATAATGGTATGGTCAATGTGCCAAGCGTACAGTATTTATACTAGTTGAAATATTGGACCCGTGTGACATATTTCATTGCAATGCATGTGCTGGATAGTGTCTGTATTTTAAGTTTTTTAATGGTCTTGTGCAAGACATTGCGTAATATATAGATATAGCACTTGTGCAATATCAATATATTACTTAATGTCTCGCACTCGACCATTAAACTACACAGAGGTTTGGTGTACACCTTGGCATGCACATATAATAACCCTTGACAGTTGGAATTTGATATAAGATTAGGTCATATCACCAGGCAAAATTTCTCTCATAGCACTGCATGGCTTATGCCCTTATTTTCATTATCCCAGTCGGTGCAGAAAAGTAGGACATTAAACCCCCATTTTATTTCATTTAAATAAGGCAACATTTCAAACTAATGTCTGTTCTTGTTGAACAGACACATAAATAGATGGAAACTGACTGGTAGTAACAAAACAAATGTAAACTATAATAAATTGTAATTACATTAATCTAACTTTGAGAACACCACATGAAGCAAGTAATTGATCTAATATGACACAATATTAATTTAATTCTTCCTCTTTCAGATGCAGAATTATCAGACATATCGCGGTTGGATAATTTGGTAATTTCTTTTATTCTTATGTCAAATGTGTTTTTTCAATAATTTTTTTGGGGGGGAGGGAGGGGGGGGTATGGTGGTGTATATTTTATACAAATATTATTTACTGATAGCCTATCTAACGGCCATAGATAATACAGTAAGGAGGAAAACATTAACAGAATGTACTTCATTAGTATTCTCTCAACGTTATCAAGCTAATATCTTACTTATTATTTGCTAAATACCAAGATAAATATACATTTTTTTAAAATAAAATGTTAGCTGTGATATATTCCTTTCTACATATTTTCAGGATGAAGATGAGTTTCCTTTAATGCCAACTGCCGATTGGACAGATTTACAATTTTTTGAAGGTATGTTTCATGTTTTTATAGGCCCCCTTTAATAGGGGTATATCCATATTGTAGAAGAAATCTATTGAAATTCAAAATTTGTCATGACATTGTTATTTTTCCATTAAGTGCTCATTGCTCTTAAAGCGAGGGAGTTTGAGTTTCAGGGATTTTTAGAGCAAGCATGGACAACTTTTCTGTGGTGTGAGTAGGGCAGCCTGACAATCCTCCTGTCCATGCTTTATGTTCAAGCATAATTTTAAATGATTTTTATACGCCCACATTATGTGGTCGTATATTGTCGTCCCTAGAGGCTAAAATTAATATCCGATTGACTTTAAATTTATACACAGTGTTTAAGGTCATATGACGAAGAAGTCTATTGATTTTCAGCGATTTCCGATAATTACTACCAGAGTTATGGCCCTTGATCACTTTGAAAAATCTTGTGGACGGTCTAGAGGCTAAAGTCAATATCCGATCGACTTTAAATTGATACACAATGTTTAAGGTCTTGAGACGAATAATTATATTGATTTTCAGTGAATTTTGATAACTTGAACAGCTAAATCCATGAAATTAAATGTTTTGTATACTCAACGTTAGCATGGGGCAGAACGTTATAAAAACCAAACAAATTCTAATGATTTCCTGATAATTACTTCATGAGTTGTTGCTCTTAATCAGATTTTAATGTATTATAAATGTTTCATTACCCAAAAAAGTAAAAATATGCGGCAACTCTTGTTGACTGCCCGGGCGATTTAGCTGCTGTGGGCGTATGTTTCGTTGCCTGGCAACCAATCTTTATTGGGGGATGGTAGTGCAAATTTTATACGCCCACAATTTCATGTCGACATATTATGCCATCGCCCCTGTCCGTCCTAACATCCATCCCTCCGGACGTCCACAATTTGTTTGTGGACACTGCATGTCACAATTTTATCTGATTTTGAAGAAACTTCAAATACAGGTCTATCTTCCAATGATCTCCATACCTGTCGATATTGGCATGTATCGGACCATAACTTTATGGATTACGGCCCCTGATTGTACGCAAAATAACGTTTTTAGCTTGTGGACACTCTTGATGTCACAATTTTCATCCGATTTTGATGAAACTTGAAATACATGTTTATAACCAAAAGATCTTGGTTCCTCTCGATATTCGCACATATCGGATTATAATGTCCTGAATTATGGCCCTTGATTGTACAAAAAAATCGCGTTTTTAGCTTGTGGTCCCCACTAGAGGTCACACTTTTTATCTGATTTAAAAAAAAACGTTTGAATATATATCACCATTACACCTTTTTGAATGATTGTGTTGAATTTCATGATAATTGGACCAAAAGTGCCAGACAAACTGGTCGCCCCTCGTACGCAAATAGTGTAAAAATATGGTACAGCAAGGTTGTGAACCCACCAGATATATGTTTATATCTCAAAGATCTTAGTTCCTTTGGATATTTGCACATCTCAGACCATAACTTCCTTGATTATGGTCCCTGATTGTACTAAAAATCGTGGTTTTTAGCTTGTGAATTCTCTAGGTCACAATTTTTATGCGATTTTAAAAACCGTTTTAATATATCACCATTCCACCATAATGAAGGTTTAATTCAAATTTTAGGAAAATAGAAACTAAACTGCCTGACAAAATGGCTTCTCTTTGTAGGCAAATCCTGTAAAAGTATGTAATACGAAGGTTGTGGAATCTCTAGAGGTCACAATTTTTATCCGATTTGATGAAACTTAAAATATATCTTTATATCCGAAAGATCCCAGTCCTTTTTGATATTTGCACATTTCAGACCATACCTTTCTGGATTATGGGCACTGATTGCTTAAAAAAGAAAAGACGCTTTTGTTTTTAGCTGGTTCTCTATCCATCTCTTGTAAACTGTGGGCATATTTTGCCTGGCAACCCCTGTTTTTTTGTGTAATAAATAATTGTGGAGTAGGAATTATGTTGTGACTGTTTAATGGTGAATTTTTGTCAAACTAAGATGCCCAATTTCAACAATTTGTCTTAAGTACAGTTTGCTAGAGTTCTAGTTTGTAAGATCTTGTGAAAGCTCTTGAGAAAGAAATTATCATCTGATTTATTGAAATTAATATGCATTGTTAAAATTAGTGAAAAGAAGATTCCTATTGAAATCTTGTTTACTTTGTAAAAGTTATAATCCAATCTGCTTGAAATTCACATGCTTTGTTCAGATTATTCATATGAAAGTTTCTCAAAAAAATATTGAATACCGGAAAGAAAAAGGAATGATGCACAAGCAAGGACAATGGTTATATCTTGAGGATAATAAGCTACCATATTAAAATCAGCTAGACTATCATTTTCGTTCTCTGCCTTTTGATGAATGCAAGGGACTATTAAAATGGGTCTGTCCTTCACACTTTTGCGACACAATGACTGAGCTACTATTACTATTATACTGGATACATGTAGCAAAGACTGGACAGGCAAATAATTCTGCGAAGCTGTTGCATAAAAAGATGATACCGACGGAGCAAGAGAGCATAGATAGATATCATTCATTGTCATTTGATAAAGGGTATTTATACCCCCAAGCATTATTATGTTAATTAAACCACTTCTTACTTCTACCCAAGTCTGTTTTGTACTGCTGTTGGCCAGGATTTTTAAATATCTACTTATTATTATTATAGATGAGATAGGTGAACCAGCAGTGGTAACAATAACAAATTACAATCAAGAAGACCTGCAGGTTAGTATTTAATTATCACAAACTTAAATCTGTCATTCATAATTTAAAACTGACTTCAGTATTATCACAAGTTTAAATCAAGCCATTCAACTGTTTTATCCAGTTTTGACAGGTTTTAACCAGTTGGGCATTGTCATCTGATATTTTGTCACTGTGTACAGTTAGATTATCTGTAACAATAAACTAACAATTCTTTAATATCAAGCCAGTGTGATATAAATGGGGTTCCTTTAAGCCCATATTGCTTTTGCTCACTTTATAGAATCTTGTGAACAATCTACTAACAAAATTTTAAAACCATTATATTATGCATTGTTTAAATCAGGGAGACGCTGAAGTCTATATAATTTTAAATATGTTATTACTTGAGTTATTGCCCTCGAGAATGATCTAGTAGAGATAAGTTCAGAAATTGTGAAGTAATCTAGCAACGTCAAGATGTTGTAAAACTTGCAGTCGTTGCTTCAGGAACATGATCTTAATTGATCAGCTCGTTACTTCAATTAAATAGTGAATGTCAATTTGTTTTGTTTTGTTTTGTAGGAACCTACAGCAATCTCTATGGAATGTTGAAATCAGAACATTATACCCACCTACCATTGATCATCATCATTCATACCTGAAACCAATACAGATTTAGTTGTACATAGTTTAAAACTTTTTTTTAGCAACTATTTTAATATTCTCATCCTAATATTGGTTATTTTTTATTTGTCTCATTTTGTGATAATATTTTGTGCAATGCCATAATGTAGATTAGCATTCTGAAACATTTCTAAAGCCACACAAAAAAATAAATATTCTGATTCTCTGATTCTCAGACAATTGTTCATAAATATCTGATGCATGAGGGAGTCACAATGGCTCAGTGAATAAGATGCTGGCTCACTAACCCGGTGTTGGTCGAACAAGTTCCCCTGGACTTTTCAGCATGGTTACCCTTCATCATAATCGGTGAACACAGTAGCTGAGTGGACACACTAGTCGAATTCTTCACACGATTTACCAGTTGACTGCATCACTTTTCATGTCACATGATTAAATATGGCATCAACCATGTCTTTAAACAATCACGTGACTTCTTGATATGAGTGGTGATTGGCTAATGAATTCTATAATTAGGCCAATGCTTCAGCGAAGTGGACACACCAGGAGAATTTGATTTGGCCGAATGACAATGGACACACTAGGCTAATTTCGACGCCAATTGAATTGGCCGAATCATTCGGCTAGTGTGTCCACTGCTTTAACGCACTGTAATGTGTATGCCTATCTTCATTTAGCCCAATCAGTGCAGAAAAGTATGACATTAAGCTCCATTTCATTTCTGATGCTGGAGGGAGGCACTACATTTATCTCATGTTCTTTATAATTGAGCGAAGTAGATTTACATGATTTTTTTTATATGGCCTAATAATTAAGTTTTCAATCAGTTATACTTCTGATGTATAATTTGTAGACTATTTATAATATATTTATAACAATCAATTTGTTTCTTTTTTTATATATGTTATTTAAAAATGCTTGCTCAACCACCTATCATATCTACCTTAAATCTGTCTTGTAGAATGTTGAGCAGGGATTTTTAAATATATATTTTGTCTACTCTCTTTCTGCCTGTATCATCGTTTGATTCAGCAGCTCCACTGATATACCGATCTGTCCAGTCCAGACTACTCTTTTCATATATCTTAGACAATGGTTCCATTGGGGGGGGGGGGGGGAATCCTATATAGGATCAAATGTATGCCTCTTGACTCAATAAAAGACCTCTTAAGTTCACATTTTAGACTACTCTGTGTTTTGGGAAAGTACAAGGGCTTCTAGCCATGCTGATAGTGAAACCATTGTAAAGCAGCTCTACAACATTTCCTTTAAATTGGCTGAAGAAAAGTGGGTTAAAACCCTATTGCATACCATTTCCTTTAATCTAATCTGCTACAAAGAAATTTTCATCAAATAATTGTAGGACAAATGTGGGTATGTATAAAAGCCTTCTTGCCATACACTGCTATCTGCGATGTAGACCAATGAAATTCCATGGAGGTTAAGGTTTCAAATCTGGCCAGAATGCAGGTATAATTAAACAACCTGTTGACATGAGCATGAACAAATGGGACTTTAGATCAATCTTTTGATTATGATCTAACAATTATACTGATACTACAACAACACAAATGTTAAAAAAAAGGAGAAGTCAATGTATATATATTTATAATTTTTTAATTTAGGATTCAGTTTCCAAAAGTTATCCAAATTTAGTCCTTTTAGCAAAACCTGGACTCGATGAGAAACCCATCGATTTTCGTTTGTAACCAAATCCATTACTACTACCTCCACTGCCACGGTAATTGTTTCTATTATTTGAATAATTATTAAAACCGTTTCTTCCGCGAAATCCACCACCTCCACCCCAACCAGAGCGACCACCATATGTTGATTGTGTTTGTATTACTTCGGGAAGTTCTCTAGCTTTTGTAACTACGATACCATTTCTTCCTTCATATTCATCTCCTATGGAGGACTCAACTTCATTAGGTACATCAAAAGCACATCCCTGTAAATAAAATAATATGAACTGAAATTCGACTTATGCCCTACAGTGTGTTATGTGAGAAATTTTGTCCAGACTGCAGCACTACAGCCTACTCTTATTTCAATTCCCCATCTGTCAAGGGTTCTTTCACATGCAGGCCAATGTTCACACAGGATCCCGGTTTTCCTCCCATCCGAATTCCAAACGTGTATATGTTTTCTATTGCCAAGCCCTTCATCCTACACCACTGACAAGGAACCACACAGGAAAATCACAATAAACTTTCACAAGACCACCAGGTTGGCAAGCCGTCTTACTGAGTCAACGTGGCTCCCTCCCTAGTATAAAGAGAGAGAGAGAAATGGGGTTTAACGTCCGTCTACGACACAAACTAGGTCATTTCGGGACTAACATATGGTTTAATTTTGTTTTATTAATTCGCTTGCGCGTAGGGGTCTTTAGCAGTGGGAGGAAACCAGAGGACCTGGAGAAAACCCATGAGGTTGGACAATCCCTAGTATAAATAACAGTATAAACATGGTTGTTTTTCAAGGAATCCAGTATTTTTCCAGAAAGATCGATGTCTCTACTTTTATATATACCAAAATTTCCATACTTTTATTGGAAATAACCACCCGATAAATACTTTTGTGGGAAAGTATCTTTAGCATCTACACCAAGTTTTAACATTCTGATTCAGTTAAAAGCATTGTTATTAACTTATTGTCTTCAAAAAGGTGTGACAGACAGGTAGGTGCTAAGCCTTAACAGTAAATCACTGAAAACCATAATGGCATGCACGCAATTAACATCCAGTGTCTATTTAAATAGCTTTTATTATCAAAATTGTTTACTTGGTTAGAGACAAACAGCTGAACTGGCGGTAGAAAAATCACTACAATAGCTCACACATATTACCACGTGCTCTATAGAACAACACTGACCTTGATAATTTTAAGTTCTAATACAACAAGCCAACAGTGAGGCTAATGTCCCCCGCCGAAATCCCCAAATAAATAGATGACACATATTATTTCATTGCATATTTATCAAACTGATTATCAACTATATGCTAAATTTCATCATTCTCTATCAGATAGAATAAATTAAAAGCAGAGTTGTTATGATTTAATGTTATGACCAATCAAATTGTTTATCGCTCCTTAGCCTAAGAAGAAAATTCTCACCATCAAACTTAGTCAAAGTAATGATAAAATGAATCTATACTCAGAGTTTCATCTCACTTAATTATAACCAAAGTTATCGTTCCCCAAAGCATCAACCAATCAAATTACATTTACTTATCTCTGCTTACCGTAAGCAGACAATGCTCATCTTTGAACTCCATCAAGGCATTCACTTAATGAACATCTACACCAAGTAGGAGAGTAAATGTGTTCCAAAGTCTCGAACAATCAAATTGCTTATCGCTCTTCTTACCCTCAGCAAAAAATGTTCATTATCGAACTTTGTCAAGATATTGATGTGATTCATCAATCTCACTTAATTAGAACATTTAAGGCCTAAAGAAAGACCTGAAAGACCTGCAATAGACAGAGTTAGTCCTTGCATAATGTACATTTAAGTGACATTATTTGTCATCTCTTCCACATACTTTCCTGATCTGATATTTAATACACATCGTAGACCTACTTTTGAGAGAGCATGGAATGAAATTGTTTCAATAAAAATAAGTATTACCATTTTATCTTTCAGTAATGTCATAGACTGTGCTTTCTCTTTAACATCAGGCAAATTTTCTTCTAAAAATCTCCAAATATATCCAGGTCCAAATAATTCTGTTTGTGTTCTACAAACATAGGTTGTGTAACCCTGTAAAAAACAAAACAAGATACATATATTAGATTTAGAATTACTAAGTTCTGTTTTACAGCAATTGAAAGGTTTATCACTTTATATTTTTGTCCGCCAAGCTTTGGGATGGGGACAATGAAAGCAAATAAATCTTGACTTTTGGAATATGCCCCATTAAACATTTATTAAATTAAAGCTGATAATCATTATTTGAAGAATTTTGAATCCCTAGCAAACTACAATATTGTGAAAGTTGAAATCTCTGTCCGTTACCTTTAATTGAACATTTCGCAGCACTGAGAATACTCTGCCATAGAAATATTATAAATCAGGGTAAAATCTTCTGATATGCCTCTTATGTAAGAGCTAAATCTGCCTTTTTCAGGTTTTTATTTTGGCTTCAAAAGTTATATAAACTATTATTTTGACATTTAGTCACATGACAATCCTATAATCAACTCTCTAGACCAGTGATTCTCAACCAGTGAAATTTTGAACGGCACACTAAGAAAATGCGAAAAACCATTTGATCCCAATCGAGAATTCACTAGTGTCTACGAATAAGCTGTGTTTTTCCTTATTTAGTTTGAGTCATTCTTTGTGTCTATGACTAGTCTCTGTCTATGGTTGTATGCTGTTTGACTTACCATGTTTTTATTTTGCAATATATATATTTAGCCAGGTGTGTCACAGTTCCAAGGTGTTCCGTTGGCAAAAAAGGTTGAGAACTACTGCTCTAGACCATCAGATGGCAGAGATTTAAATGGATTAAAACATGGTTCTCCATTTCTGATTTAATTTAAAAATAGTAAAGCTAGGCAAAGTCTTGAATAACAAGTTCCATTGTTCCGATAATAAACAATCTATGCCATATCTATTATTGAACTATTTTATTAAGAACGCTTGATCTTTATCTAATTCTTGCACAATGCAACTTTAACACAATTGAACTATCTTTTATTGATCTTTTGTATTCTTAATTGAATGTTTCATGATTAATTTCAGTACACATCAGTATGGGGATTAAGCTGTTAAAATTAGATACATGATTAGGATTGCTGATTTTAATTTCATAATAAATTGTGAGTAGGTGTAAACACATATATACTAGGTAGTTATAGGTGTGCATTCATGGAATCTGTGTTCTGGATTGATGAACTTTCTTGAAGCTATCCATTTTTGACTTCATTTCAACAACTAGTATCTTCTACATTAAACGTTATGAATTAACATAGTCTTTAAAATTTTAACACAAAAATCTAAGCTTTTACATCAAGTTTAAACATTCTACCTCAATTAAAAGCAGAGTTGTTATGTTCCAGAATCTTGACCAATCAAAATGCTTATCGCTATTTAGCCCAAGCATAAAATCTTCATCATCGAACTTAGTCAAGTTATTGACATAATGAATCTATATTAGTTTCATTGCTCTCACTCAATTAGAACCAAACTTATTGAGTTCCATGTTCCCAACCAATCAAATGGCTTATCTCTGTTTAGCCTAAGTGGAAAATGCACCTGATCGAACTCTGTCAAGGCATTCACCAAACAGACAATTACACCAAGTTTGAACATTCTACCTCAATTAGGAGAGTTATTGTGTTCCAAAGTCTTGACCAATCAGCATCAAACTTTGTTAAGTAAGGTATTGATGTAATGAAACTATACACAAAGTTTCACCACAATCACTCAATTTGAATCAAAGTCGTCAAGCTACAAAGTCTCGAGCAATCAAATTGCTTATCACTCTGCTTACCCTGAGCCGAAAATGCATATTATCAAAGGTATTGATGCGACAAAACTATACACCAAGTTTCATCGCTCTCACTTGATCAGAACCAAAGTTATCGTGTCCCAAAGCACCAACCAATCAAATTGCGCATCTCTCATTATCCTAAGCAAAAAATGCTCCATTAAGGCATTCACCTAATGAAAGCCTACACCAAGTTTGAACATTCTACCTCAATTAGAAGGAGAGTTATTGTGTCGGTAGTCTCGAACAATCAAATTGTTTATCGCTCTGCTTACCCTGAGCAGAAATGCTGATTATCGAACTTAGTCAAGGTATTGATGTAATGAAACTATACACCAAGTTTCATCACTCTCACTTAATTAGAACTAAAGTTATTGTGCCTCA